AGAGAGAGAGAGAGAGAGAGAGAGAGAGAGAGAGAGAGAGAGAGAGAGAGAGAGAGAGAGAGAGAGAGAGAGTGAGAGAGAGAGAGAGAGAGAGTTAGGGGGTGAGAGAGACGCACCTGTTACTTGATGGTGGCCATAGCTGCCCGGATACCTGGATACAATTTGCAAACAATTCTGAACTGTGTTCAACTTGTGTGACGTGTGTGCAAACCTTTGTCTGTGTAGACTTCTGAATTGTGAGTGTGAAAGTCAGTGTGAAATTGTGGATCATTGCCTTGGCAATGTCTGGCATTGAAAAAAAGAAACAAAGACAATCGGACGAACAGAACAGGAGGCAGATGGGTAGGCTGCCAGGTGAGTGGTTGGTTGGACATGCCAGCCAACAGACAGACGGACAAACAGGCAGAAAGGCCAATAGGCAGGTCAGCAGGCTGATGAACCTGCAAACAGGGGGACGGCAGCTGACAAACAAGCCAAGCAACCGACAGACTGATTGGCAAGACAGCACAAAACAGGACATCCACGAAGAGATGGATGCCCACCTGGTGAAAGGTTACCCATCAATGGAGGAGAGAATGCATGCCTCTCCTCCACCTCGTTGGCCCACACAACACACACACATAGGGACACCACTTCACAAACAGAGACCAACATGGAAAATAAACAGCACAAAGCGACTGGCACTGAAACAGGATGGCTAGATGGCAACACAGGAGACACAGTTAACAGGGCCCTAAATTTTCAGGGTTTTTTCATGGTCTTTATAAGAACACGGGTAGGTGCTTGGACCGGTGGGCGCAGAGGGCAGATCAGCAGGTGTGCGGCCCTGTAACAGGAAGGAGGATAGATAGCTTTGCAGACAGATGAATGGACCATTGGATGGACAGGCTGATCAACAGGCAAGTGGACATACAGCCAGATGAGCCGATGTACTGACAGACAGGTAACAGGTGTGTCAAAGACAATGACTGAGGTGCAAAAACTCAAAAAGTTTTGGAAGGAAGGACTAAGCAACACTATTGGTGACGGATTGATCAGGCAGACGGTTCAAGAGGGATGGGGAAACATGGCTTAAGAAAACAAGGATGAAGTTCAAACACACCTTGCGTGCCCTCTGCTCCCTGTCCTTGGTGGCAAGCCGGTTCAACAGCCTGTGGCTTGGGGTGTCTGTCCCACTTTCCCGATGAAAGCTCTTATTCAGAATGTTTGAAGGAAGAAGTGTGGCAACGTCAGGATGACTTCTTCGCCTTCGCTCCTCCTCAATCAGAGCTAGGCGCCTGCTTTTCTGTTGCTCTGCCTCCTCCCTTCTTGCTTGGATTGACATATCCTCCCGCTCTTTGTTCATCAAATATCTTTGTTCCACAGTACAAACCAGATCAGGGATCCATATCAACAGTTTGTATGAATGTACCAAAATTCAATGTGTTCTATTATTCTATACAAGCAGGAGAGTTAAGAAACCACATAAATTGAAGGCCCTGTTTAGAAAAAAAGAAAAAAGAAAAAGAAAAGAAACCACATAAATTGCTGATGCGATGATCCAACTTGTTGGAATCAAGATCCTGTTCGCAACAGCAAGATCCACACAATATGGGTACACTCAGAACTTAATTACAACTTGAAATGATATACACAGGTTTCTCAAGATCACGGCTATGGCCGTGCACAGCATCACGAACAAACCAGTTTCTCTCTCTCTCTCTCTCTCTCTCTCTCTCTCTCTCTCTC